TTATTCTAAGTAAATAGTCAAGGTTGTGTGCAAAGACAGAATAACAAAGATATTCACTGTTAAAACAGGGGGAAACTGGACATAATCTAAGTGAACAACAGGCAATTGGATAAATAATGACGCAACACACTGTTGTATCACACAAACACTAAAAATGATGATGTTGGTTAGAATGCAGTGCTGATAGCACCAAGGTCAAGGGTTTGGATTCCCATACTGGCCAACTGCAAAAAACAAATAAATAAGTTCAGAAAAAAAAATGATGATGAGTATTGAATCTTCTTATTCATTAAATTATATTAGATCTGAATAAATAGAGAGATATACCATGTTCATGGATTAGCAGACTCAATATTGTTAAGATGTCCATTCTCCCCAAACTGTCTACAGATTCAAGGCAATCTTAGTCAAAATTCTGGCAGGATTTTTTGTAGATATTGTCAAGTTGATCCTAAAATATGTACAGAAACACAAAAGAGCTACAATATCCAAAACAATTTTGAAAAATAACAAAGTTGGAAGACTTATACCACCTGACTTCAAGACTCTTTATAAGGGCCAGCCCGTGGCTCACTTGGGAGAGTGTGGTGCTGATAACAACAAGGCCATGGGTTTGGATCCCTATATAGGGCTGGCCTGTGGCTCACTTGGGAGAGTGTGGTGCTGATAACAACAAGGCCATGGGTTTGGATCCCTATATAGGGCTGGCCTGTGGCTCACTTGGGAGAGTGTGGTGCTGATAACAACAAGGCCATGGGTTTGGATCCCTATATAGGGATGGCTGGTTACCTCACTTGGGAGAGCGTGGTGCTGACAACACCAAGTCAAGGGTTAAGATCCCCTTACTGGTCATCTTTAAAAAAAAAAAAAAGACTTTTTATAAAGCTACAATAATCAAGACAATGTGGCATTGGCTCAAACACAGACATACAGCTCAACAAAACAGAACAGACAGTCTAGAATTAGACTTGCACGAATATGACCAATTGACTTTCAACAAAGGTACTGATGTAATTCAATGGGCAAAAGATAACTTTTTCAGAAAATGATATTAGAATGATTTTCACATGGAAAAAAAAATGAACACCAACCCCTACCTCCTATCACACATAAAAATTAATCAGAAATGGATCACAGACTTTAAAAAAAAAAAAAAAAAGGAAGTAAAACCCTAAAACTTCTGGAATAAAATACAGGAAAAAATCTTCTCTACTTTAAAGTAGGCAAAGGGCACAAAAGGCATTAATTTCAAAAAGAAACACTGATAAACTGGACTTTGTCAAAGTAAAACATTTTTCTTTTCAAAAGACACTGTTAAGAAAATGAAAAAGCCAGGCTGGGCAGGCAGTTCAGCTGGTTAGAGCATGGTGTTATAACACCAAGGTCAAAGGTTCAGACCCCCACACCAGCTAGCTGCAAAAAAAGAAAGAAAAGGCAAGCCACAGACTGGGAGAAAATGTCCACCCTACTCATATCTGACAAAGGGCTGTATCCAAAATATATAAAAAACTCTTATAGCCCCCAAAAGAATAAATGACCCAGTTTTTTTAAATGGGCAAATGATTGAACAATTACTTCACCAATTACGAAAGGTCAACAAGCACATGAAAACAAGCTTAACATCATTAGTCATCAGAGAAATGCAAGTTAAAATCATGAGAAAACACCTTACACCCCCAGAAGACCTAAAACTAAAAGACCCACAATACCAAGCATTGCTGAAGATGGGAAGGAATTCTCATATATTCTGATGGGAGTGTAAAACGGTATAAAAAGCTTTGGAAAACAGTTTGGCAGTTTTCTACAAAGTGAAAATTCACACCTATCAATATGACATTGTAATTCCATTCTTCGATATTAAAACATAAAAACATATGTCTACACAAAGAATTACATACATTCATAGCAGCTTTATGCAATAAGAGCCCAAAATTGGAAACAACCCAAATGCCCTACAAGAGAATAAAGCAAACCACCCCTATACTCATATAATGGAGTACTAAATGGCAATAAGAAAGAACTGCCGATATGCACAATAAGGATAAATTCCAGAAACATTAAACTGAGCAAAAAGTCATGTTATATGACAGACAAAACTAACCCATGGTGAATAGAAATTGGATCGGTTGCCTGAGGCAAAGGGTGGGGATACACTGCAAAGAGGCAAGAGGGAACTTTCTGTGGTATTGGAATGTTCTAGATCTTGATTATGGTGTGGTTTAATCAGCTCTATATGTCTATCAAATCTTAAGAACTATATCTTTAAAGTGTATGCATTTTGTTGTATATAAATTATGTAAAGTAGATCAAAAGCATTTTAAATCAGAATAGACAAAAACTGAAAACAACCCAAATGACCATCAACTTGTTGAATGGACAAATTGTGGTATATCCATACAAACTAATATTACTCATCAATCAAAGGTAACAAACTACTGATACACATAATATGGATGAATCTCAAAATAGTGATGCTGAGCGAAAGAAGCCAGCACCCCCCTCCAAAAATATATAGTACATGATTCCATTTATATAAAATTCTAGAAAAAGCAAACTAATCTATAGTGACAGAAGGCAGTTCAATGGTTGCCTAGAGCTAGGATGGGGAGAGGGAGACGGATTGCAAAGAGGCACTATTTGACAAAACTCTTCATAAGGGTACATTTTATTGGATATAAATTAAACCTCCACACAGGTGACTTAAAATACTGAAAAAACATAATCACACTTTACACAAATGACTGAGACTTATATCGTCACCACTGAGAAATCTCAGAACAACACTGAGTAATGAAACAAGCCGTGCCACCTCACACCCATTAGGATAGCCACCACAAGAAGTGCATGCTGGCGACGGACAAATCGGAACCCTCGTGCAATGCTGATGGGAATGTAAAATGATACAGCTGCTGTGGAAAACAGTGTGGTGGTACCTGAAAAACTGTAAAGT